AGAAAAAATAATTTAAATAAATGTGGACATATTTTTTCTCTTTTTTTAATATTTTTGCCTGCGTACGTAATAGCCTACGTCAGCCACTAACATGCAATATGGTCTTTCGTTTTAATTTTGGGGGCAATTTATATTGTAAACTCTTGTTGACCTGCCCATTAGATCCTCCTTAAGAAATTAGATACATAAATTACTATTAAATATTAATGTATGTTGGCATTTTATTGTATCTCTTTATTTTTTGTTGGTATGGCAAAATTTGCCATAAAAGACATGGTTCGTCGAAAAGTATTAGTCTAAACTTGGGAGGTTTAATGACCATTCAGTATACACTATATCAAAAATAATTTTAAATGATAATTAATTAATGATAATAGTTTAATTATCATTAAATATATTTTTATGGGTAATTTACCCTCTTTGTAAATGTCAACTAACTAATACGGGTAGAGACTTTAACACTCTTCGTTAATGTACATATTTATTACTGCTAAAATCTATTTTTATTACATTATAATGACATTTTGATTGGCCTAATACAGTTCATCTAAATTTTGTGATTTCAGCTAAATATATCTCTCATAATAACACATGAAAAAATTTATCAAAATATTTTTATTTTATATGATTTAGCCATAATAAAAGGAAATGAGTTTTATTTAATTTCGTAATTAAAAAAAATATAAGAAAAAAAAGACTTATTCATAAGAGTTTGTAGGTTGAGTTATAACCCATTTGTTAGCCATTTTGACCCATGTCATCTCGGCTAAAGTAATATTTTTTTAATTTATTAATGCAACTCATTTAATTCGTCTAAATTTTAATCCTGTGAATATATATATTTTTTTTTAATACAAAAAATAAATAACATCTTGTAATTCTTCATAACTAATCTATGTAAACATTCTTAAATCGTAATGTGTATATACAGATGTAGAATGAGAGAGTTACTTCTTCTTCATAAATGATTCACATTTATTTAAGTGACAGTTTCTTAACTTCATAAGAAAATATATGCATTATTCAAACAAACTAAGTTACTTTGCATTATGACAAATTCATTAAAATAAGAGTAATGGTTCATTACATTAATTTCTTACGATCTTATGATGGATGGAAACGTAAACAATTTTCCTATTTATGGGAGCTAAACATACAAAAGGGAAACAAAAAACTTTCCTTTCCATTTACTCTCTCTGTTATCAATTTCTCTATTGGCTCAAGTAATTATTTTTCATATTGTAGATTTTTAGGCAATTATTTTTATGCAATATCAAACTTTCAATCACGAATACACGTATCAAAAAAGAGTTGTGGAAACCTTTTGAAATAACCTATTTTAACGATTTACACCAATTAAGCTAAAATAGTTTTCAAAATAAATGACTTGCCATTTGAAAAAGTCAAAGATTAAGGATTTTTCAATTGAGTCAAAAAGTGAAGTGGTTATTGTTCAATTTACACACGTGATCAATCAAAAACAAAGTTTGATTTCCCAACCTCTAAATGAATTCTAGGAATGGTCAAATGCTTGAATTTTATACCCCTTGTTTTCCGACATGTTTTGAGCAGGGGCAAGTAAACATTACTCCCTCCGTTCACGTTTTAATTTTCGAAATATAATAGCAGATAAGTAAAAGCAAAAAATATGATAAATAAAAATGAATAGACCAAATATTGATCATCTATTCGGCATAATTCAATATTTTTTGATCAAATAATTATATTTATTTTTAAAATAGTTCACATTCTCTTTGAAGGTCCATAATATATAACTCAAAATTCTGCAATTTATAACTTGTACGTTTGATTAAAAGAAAAAAGAAAAAATTATTCCAAGATGGTTTTTCTACCGGCGCAACTAGACCCTAAACTATGATCGACATTCAAGAGACATATCTTACTACACTAAGGTCCTATTACCTCTCCGAACTCATTTTTTAAAATAATTTTATACACCTTTTGGCTTACGTGGCACGCTCTGTGACTCCACATAGTTGAGGCATGTGGGAGATATTTGGATGCCACGTAAGCCAAAAAGGTGTATAAAATTACAAAAAAAAAAGGTTCATAGGTAATAAGACCTTAGTTTAGTTAGTGTGTGTCTTTGAGATTTCGGTCATAGTCTAAAGGGTACTTGTCCCTTGTTCCCTACCCAAAATGTTACTCCCTATGTCCCAATTTATATGACTTACTTTCCTTTTTAGTCAGTTCCAAAGAAAATGACACATTTTTATATTAAGTAACAATTTTACTTTAAAATATCTATTTTATCCTTAATGAAATGATTTATAGCAAGACAAATTTATATCATTCAAGTTATATCAAAACTTTTAAAAGTCTTTATTTCTTTCTTAGATTTCATGCCGAGTTAAACTACCTTACAATTTATGAGACAGAGTGTATTAATGATTAAACGTGGCACAAAACTGAAGAAGGCTGCTTGAACCAATCAAAGACAACCGAAAGATGCCCAAGAAATATTGATTGGGCCTTGCTGACTTTTGTAGGCTCAGAGAAACAGAGTATTTGTAGTTGAAGTCTAAGGGCCCGTTTTGCCATGTGATATGATATCATGATATTGAATCATGATATGATATCATAATATGGAATTATGAGATAAAATTGAAGTTTTGTTTAGACATGCGATATGAAATTTTTGTGTGGTATATTTTCTCATAAACATTAGAATCTCATAAGTTGTAAAATGATTAAAATAGCCCTAATTGTTTATTTAATCTCACCAAATAAACAAAAAATTATAAAATCGCATAATAAATTATTACAAATCTATTTGTTCTCCAATTAAGTAATTGTTTCATCCAACTTTAATTCATCAAACCTTAATTCAATAAAAAAAATGAACATAAATTGTAGTGTACTAGTCTTTAATATAATCCTCCCACACAGTACGAACAATTTCCTCACGTTGAACTTGCATTTCTCAATCATGTGACCGAGAAGACGAACCAACATTGTTACTTTGATCCATTTATTGGTCAATATCATCCGCAATTATATTTCCATGCTTATAGACCATAAATATTTCATCAGTCCTTTGGTATAGTCGCAAATAATGATGTAACACTGCACAAGCTATGACAATTTTCACTTGTGTATCAAAATCATAATGGTTCATGCCTTGTTTCAGTATTTTAAATCTATTTTTTCAAGCTCCAAAAGTCCGTTCAATCACATTGCGCAGAGATGAATGCCTATAATTAAATAGTTCTTTGGCATTTTGAGGCTCTCTTTCACTTCTTCTGTAATCTTGCAAATGATAGTGCATTCCTTTGTATGGAGCTAAAAATTATTTGTATGAGTGTGAGTTAAAGTTACTATATGTTGGTGAAAATAATAAATTTCATGTCGGTGATTATAATAAATTTTAAAAAATAATGATGTGATTATAAATTTTATTTACATATGAAATAATTGATTAGTAGATATAAATATGAGGTTGTTTTAACAAAATATAAACTTGTGGATCAATTTTTATATTAAAAATATCTCAAATTATGATATGGAATTCCCATATCATGGTTTTTGGTGAATATGAAATCACATCTCATGATATGGAATCACGAGATGGAATCAGCGTAAAATCGCATGTCCAAACGTTGATTCCATCTCATGATTCCATATCGTGATATGATATCGCATGACCAAATGCCTACATTTCAATAATTTAGTTGTTCAAATATGTAAATACAGATTTATTTGGAGATTTTATATGAGCAAGGCAATAACTAGGAAACATTCCTTAATTTTATGAAGTGATCCAAATCAAAAGGCCCGAAAATCAGTTTTCCTTTTTCTTTGGTGCTTTGCACAAATAGTACTCCCTATGTCTCAATTTATCCTTTTTTATCGGTCAAATATATTGACTCACATTTCTATATTAAATAATAATGTAACTTTAAAATGTCAATGTTATCCTTAATGAAATAATATATAACCAGACAATTTTCTATCATTCATTTTAGATTACTAGTTTTAAAAATCTTCCTTTTTTAAACTCCGTGCCGAGTTAAACTGCTTCACATAAAATGAGATGAAGAAAAAATATTACTTGACACTAGTGTTTAACTTTTATCTCTATTTAGGAAATTTGTGAAAAATTTACCATCGACATAACCTTACTATATTAATCTCAACTTTTAGATATCTTTATAAAATGTCCATCAATTTTGTCGAATTGACAAATCTTATGTCATACCAAGTATCATTTTGTAGGAAAGTGACATTTGATCCAATGTAGGTTTGAGCTCTCCATATGAATTTTTTTTTCTTCTCCAAATGAGATTCTATGCGATACAAGTCCAAAATAATTACGTTTTAATATAAATATCGAATATCATAGAAAAGGAAAAAAAATAAAGATACTTATTTTGTACAAATTGTTCACAAGTTTGTCGGGATAGCAAAACTTGTATGGGTTGGTTCAATTATTCACAAATTATGTCAATAAAACTTGTTAATATGCACCAACTTTATAAAAGGGATAAACTTTAATCACCGACTCACAAATAGGATAACAAGGTGAAATATTCTTGATTGGAAAGTGCTAAATGGCATGAAAATTAAAAAAAATTATAATTTTTTTTTAAATTTTAAATAAACTAATCTTTTTGTCATTTTTTAAAAAAAATATTAAAATTAAAAGGATAAAACTGTTTTAAAAAATAAAATAATATAGATAAAATATCATTGTGGCCAAAAATATTTTTCTTTCTTGATTCTAGCAAAATGCCAAATGATTCCTAAATTCCAATTTCACCCTAATCCATATATATAATTTAATAAAATTCCTATTAATACATCCCAAGAGCCAACACACATCACTTTTTTCGTCATTTTCCTATCTTTTTCCAAAAGCCATTAATACTGCCAGAAAGCGTGGCCAACTCTTTGTTCTTATCTGTTTGTTTCAGCTCATATTTCACACTAATCCTGTTTTCCCCAAAACAAAGATTAACGCAAATTAACATAGTAATTAGAATAAGAATCACAACTTGAATTAATCAGTCCTCAATTTACATTAATTGGAAAAAATTAAAAGCTTACATATGTTACATAACAGATATATAGATCAAAAGCATAAATGATTCAATACAGTAAAAACCCAAAACTTAAGCTGAAAAACTAGGATAATATAATGTTAAAATTACGAAATTGAATATATAATATATCAATTAAGTTGATTTATTAGCTTTGAAATTCATCTTCTCGTAATACCGAATTGATAGCAGCGATAGCGAGAGATTGACTTCGTCTTTTCCCCATCGGGTGTTTGCAGCGGCGTATTTCAACGGCCGAGTAGGCGCCGGAGGAAGGCAAGGCCAGGCGGAAGCCGGAGGAGTCGAAGAAGACGCCGATGAAGACGGCGATGGCTTGGAGAGTGGCCAGAGGTAGAGTGAGTAGAGACGCCGGAAGCCGCCGAGAGCGAGGACGACGGCTCGGAGCTGTTGCTGTTGGTTAGGGTTGTGTTTTGTGCAGATCAGCTCCCATAGCCGCTCATCTAACGCCGACTGGTTCCACTGTTTGCTAACGCACGCCGCCGTAGCTAACGTGCGCCCGTCGACGTGTTTCAGTATTTCGTACAGTAGATTCTCATTCAACAACACCGCCTCCGTATCCACCTCCGGCGACTCTATAACCTGCTTCATCTTTTTCAAGTCGCCGGAGACGGTGGTTGCAAAGTTAGCTTCAAATTGCCTCTTCATCGGTAACTTCCTCTCTTCCTCCAACTCTAACACCTCCTTCTTCATCTTCTTCACATCATCGGCGCCGGCCCAATCAGTTTCTCCGGCGTCGAATTGCCGCTTCATCGGTAGATCTGAATTGTGAAAATTAAAGGATAGAGGAAGTCTTTTTATTCGGTAGATTAGGGCGGTAGGTTGGGGGTGGGAGGGGTGTGTTAAATGTTAATGGTGGGATTAAAAGGAAGCACATGGGATGGGAGGTTGTAGAAATGATTATCGAAGGGGACAAAAGAAAAGTAATGAATTGGGTTTTTGGGTGGGCCGTGAGAAAATGACAAGTTTGTCCATGTGATTAGTGGTGTGTTCCTTGTCTTTTTATAAAAACAAAGCCCGTTGTCTCATTAAGAAGCACAGTTTTTAGGTCCATTCCTTCGCCTTTTCCCACTTCCTTAATAGAGTGGTTATAGCAGAGTCATCCATCTTATAGTCTCCACTGAAATTATTCTGCTATATCAAAGTGATTGCTTTGTTATTAGATTTTTATTAAATATTTCTTATATATACTAATTACTATATAATATTTTTCTCAATATAAATATATGATTTGCATAAAAATTGTTGAATTTCTCAAAAAATTACCCTCGATATACTAGGTTCGCCCCAATTTATTTCCTCTTATTCATAATATAAATACTCTTTTAGCCTTTGGCACATATCCCTCTTAATAAAAATACGAATTTCTAGAAGAATAGATGTTTTGATCTCAAGAGATTAACTATTATTTACTAATAGTGGACAAGAAAATTATATCGTTAGTTCATTTTTAAAAATATTTATTTTTTTAATTTAACTATTATATTTTCACATTTAAAGATTAATAATTTTCATCTTCTCTTTTTCTTTTTCAACTATTTTTTATACTATCAACTTTGAGTATTATTTAAATAAATTGGAGTATATATGATGGTATATGGATTAAGTTTGTTTTCAATTAATTTTTATATTGTTGATTGAATGAACTAAGAAGAAAAAACAAAGTCTGAAGCAATGAAAGACTTAATAAGTTATGAATAACTTTTTTTAAAATAAAATCTCCAAGGTTTAGGGTAAAAGACCAAAATAAACCCCTTTTGGTATTTATTAAGGAATATTTCAATCAAGTGAAATATATTAAGAACCAAAATGAACATTTTTTGTTATACATTAAAAACTATTTCAATAAAGTGAAATATATTAAGGACCAAAATATAGCATTACTCATACATTAAAGACCATTTTGATCATTTTCTCTTGCCCCAAACTTCACTCTCCATCACGTCCCATCTTCATAATATTTTTCTAAATCACGTATAAATATATTTAGAATAATATTTTTTATTTGTGAACACTAAAAAGTAAGTAAAAAAATCCACTTATTTTTTAAGGAAAACATTTTAGTGCCTTGTACTTTCATATACCAAACACACCTATTATTTAAACTTCAAAGAACATAATAATACTAGTGATTGAAAAGATGATAGAATCAAGCCAATAAGATGAAGAGAAGATAATAATGTTGCTTAATCAAGAAAAAGAATATCTTAGGAAATCATCTCAGAAAATGACACCTTAATTAACACTCAATATGTTTTGTCTATTCCCCAATCATTTTATATTAACTTTATTTATCTGCAAATTGTGACACAGCAGAAAGTATTGGGCCCTCCCAACATGGGCTTTAGAGGGACCTAGTTATAAACTCTGGATTGATCCATTAATTCACAGTCAAGCTCAATCAGTGACTGGGCTAAGAAATGTACCCAAAAATATTTGAAAAAACTTTGAGACATACTTTACTACCATATATACTATTATTGTTTATACTAATATATTATGTATCTTACCACTAATTAAGATTTTTTTATGTATCTTATATTTAGATACATATATTTTTAATACTAGATACACAAAAATAGGAAGAGAGATGATCGAGATTTATTTGTATCCCAGATATATGTGAATCACACTTGATACATGTATCTGTATGTATTTGGAGTGATTCGCATGTATCTGGGATAACAGATACATGGGAGAGTGGTAAGCGAGATGAAAGAGAGGTGAGTGACCCCATGTTTTGAGATACATGTATCTGGACGTATCTAGAAGCATTGGTAAGATACGTATATTGCAAACTAGAGTGTAGCTAAGTAATTAACTTCTAAACTAGTGAAATTTATGTGAGTTCCCCAAAATATTTATCTATTTCAATTTGTTTTACTTGTTTTGATTTGACATGAAGTTTAAGAAAAATATAGAAAAACTTTTGAATCTTACCGTTTTAAACTAAAAATATGTTAAATATTCCAACTGAATTTTTACTGCCTGTTAATTGTGTGAAAAACATTGTTTGTCTTTTTTCTTTTTCTTTTTTTCCTTGCAAACTATCTAGTTCTAGAAATACGATTTCACTCAAAGCATCAATTCTTTAAAATAATAAATTAAATTTCTTCTTGGAAACCACTTATCACTCTAAGGAATTTATATAAGATTTTACGTATATACTGTACACGCATATTTGGTATTCTTTTAGGTGGCGGCTATACAATGTATTATGTAATATCTCAAAAGTTTATCTTGTATATCGCGATTCAAATTATTACTTTTCTGTTATTCTTCTACGCACACCAAAAAAAATAATTCTATGGTTTACCATAAACACGTTTTTAACAAGAAAAATGTGATACTTAGCTTGTTGAAGATTAACGAATATAATTCAATTGCAAAAAGAATAATCAATTTGAAAATCAAATTACTTTAATAAAAAAGATGTAGTGTAAAATGGATTTGGAATTAATCTTGTGATCAATCCAAAAGTAAGTATAAAATGAATATGAAGTGAAAGGAACAAATTGAAGCAACTCGAGGAATAATCCATTTTTAAGACGAAAAAAATACAGTAAATCAAAGGAATTAATTAAAATTATCTAATTAATGGCCACTTCCTCTATGACTTGGGCCAGAATATGCTTGATTTGTCATGGCATTATCAATGGACGAAGACGAAGACATTGATTCATTCTGATTCTGAGTAAACCATTTTGAGTTGCTGATATTGAATCTTTGTTGTTGTTGATCAACATTAACCTTTGGTGGCGCAAAAAGACGATAATGATGGTGTTCTTTAAGTTTCCTTGATCCTTGGATTTGAACTAATTGAAAGGACGATACAATTAGGACGATGAGAAATACTAGGATTATAAAATGTTGCTTCATGATATTACTTTGTTGTTGTTTTTGAAATGTTCAAACTAATTGTAACATGTTATTCTATGAAGAGAAGTAATGATGTGTTTTATAAGGGGAAATAGTCATATTCACCTATTTGGTCGTGTGATCAGGCACTTTGACTTCTATGCAAATTCGTCGGAATTGTCTCAAACAAATATGAAGTATATTATTATTTTATTTTATTTTTAATAATCTATTATCCTCCTTATTTTAGTTTAGATTGATAAATACTTGCCATAACTAAACAAATTGTAACACATCCAATATTTTCTTATAGTTTACTATAAATGCTCTAATTCTGATATTGATATGCTTTTTACTACTAGAAGTTCGAAACGACTAAACGGAAATAATTTTTGGGAGGAGGGGGGTTCACCTAACGCACGCATAATCCGTTAAGAGTTATGGTGAAATGAATGAAATTAGCGGAGTTTTAATTAGTTTGAACTTTTAATAGAAAACATTTTACCGTTCTATATGACGCGAATGTTGATAATTATGACTTTTATAAATATATGGTTTTTACCTATATGCTAAATGATTGAATTTTGGCTTGTATAATTATCAAGTTTGTAGTGGTTATACCAACAAAAACAAATTGAGAGATCTTCTCATGCGTCCTATAAAATTGGAAGTTGTAAGAATTAATTGCACATATTGCGCAAACTTTGTTCTACTCTATGAAAACCTAGCTGGATATCCGTTAATTCCTGCCGGAGCGCACTAACCGGTGTCTGGTCGGTGACCACAACAAATTCCAACAATTAATCCTAATTAATTAATTAATCAAATTATGGTATTAATATCCCTTAAGAATTCACAAATTCTAAAATTTATTACATATGATGAGTACTAGTGAAATGTTGAACTATTTGCTTGAAGTGTATTCCAAATGAACTCACAATTTTCAAGTTAAAATATTGTCCAAGTACTAGTTTTAATTTTAAATACTTTTTTTTCCTTCAATTTTTAACCAAATATCATCGAAACGCCTAAATATCATGATTTCACATTGGATATATATATAAGATTTTGCACTTGAAAATTCATTTACACATGATCCGTGATCGTCACTATATGATAAATTAATTAACATGATTTTAGGAGGGCCAGATTGGAAATGACGAAAGAAAAAATCCAATAGGTATAAAGAATGAATATTAACATTCTCGTTCCGTGATCATCACTCTAGAATATTATTCGGATTATATGTTAGATTCGATATATAAAATCATTTCTTTGGTGGTACATACTCTAAATTAAATAATTATAATACTTGGAAAACTCACAAACAAATAGTGAGGGAATATAAAATTATGTTACGAAAATCCCAGTTGGTTGGCTGTGGAGGAATATAATTTGTTAGAGCCTTAGAGGTACATGTGATGCACAATATAATGCACTTGAAAGAATAGCCACTATGCTATTATTTTAAGTAAAACACTAATATTAGTCACCCTCATGCATTGCAAGGAGGATAAAACAGAGATCATAATCTTGGGAAGTTAGGGTTCACGAGGCATGAGTATTTTCCTATGTAATTGCATAAGGGGTGCAAATTCAGAATTTCGATTAAGCGGTGTTAAAATATAAAGAATTAAAATCGCATAGAAATCAAGGAGTGTCTATATGTAATATATAAATATATTAAAATATTTTTACCTAGCTACACAATGTGATTTTCTAATGAAGGAGACGAATACTAAATGAAGTTCCGAGGAGGATCCTTTGATCTCACCTTGAGTTTGTTTCGTAAAAACTGAAATCGAGTCGATGAAAAAGGTTTTGTGAATATGTCAGCCACTTCATCCTTAATTAGACGAGTTTCATATTTTCATTCATCATTGCATTGACATTGCTAACCAATATTAATTGGTCCGCTAGTGATTAATTGATCTTAAAATGTGATAATCG